TGCTCGTCTGCTGCCTCGCACTAATTAGATCGCAATAGGACTAAGCCTTTGAGTAGTGTAGGGCTCCAAAGTGAGGTAGGCCATTCCCCTGTGGTCTGACACACTCCAACTTTTGCCACACGGTGCGTGGTTTACCCACTCCGGAGTTTCACTCCCCTCCCCTAAGCTTAGTCTTAGGCGCTATAGGTGAGAAAGCTTAGAAAAGCAGAAAATATGCGTTAAACAGCACGAATGTCAAAAACGAGTGTCATATTCGTGATCAGGGCCCCAAATAACCCCTATACAGAAGTTTACAGCGAATTTGGTGATAATCAGTCGTGGCGCCACCTGGCGCCAAATGGCGCCAGCGCCAAAAATGGATGTCATATTCGTGATCAGGACCCTCGATAACCCCCATAGCAGAAGTTTCAGCGAAAATTATTTTTTGACCCATCTCACCCCACTGGGGTTGTAATAGTGCAATAGTGCCTAAACTTCAGTCACTGCTTACTCCTTATTTTCTCCTTTTTTGAATGGCTAGTATAAAAGTCACGTGACTAGTCCTTTTGTTATTTCGCTCTTTCACCAAAGATACATGTATATCTTTTATCTTTTATTAGATTTTCCCTTCTTTCCAATACAAGTAGCTAATTTGTTAGTTTTTTTTTGTTTCTGAGATTGCATTTCCATAAGAAGTTAGATTTAAGATATATGAAGTCACTTCAAGATTTTATTAGCGGCATTATCATTTTCTTTCTTCACTATGATAGCTTATAGCTAGAACTTTCAGCGCGATAAGCCTCATCTTAATGTTGGTACAATTGGTCATGTAGATCATGGAAAAACTACCTTGACGTCCGCCATCACAAAAGGTAGTCTATGAATCTTTTCTTATAGTTTTGGTCTTTCTGCATCTTCTTTTATGGGTTTCATCTGCACCTTGTGCATGAGTTCATAGTGACAGATAACACCAAGGTAATGCTCTATTTCGTTCTTCTTTTTGCTTTTTTTTCATAATTCAGTTGTGTTGCAGTATTGGCTGCCTCGAAAGGAGCTAAGTTCCGGAAGTACGAAGATATTGATAACGCTCCTGAAGAAAAGGCCAGAGGTATGAACACAGAACACCGCCGTATTTTAATCACCTAGCCAGTTTTCAATTGATGTTCCCGTTGTATTGCCCAAAATGTTGAATGACGTCCTCAAATGCTTTCTTCTACTATATCAGCGACGAAAAGCTCCTTCAGGTATTACAATTAACGCATTTCATTTGGAATATGAGACCGCCAAACGCCATTACGCTCATATTGACTGCCCTGGCCATGCTGACTACATCAAGAACATGATTACTGGAGCAGCTCAAATGGAAGGTGCCATTCTTGTCGTTGCTGCAACTGATGGTCCTA